AAATAAGTGGGGTACAACTTTGGGTTTTACGAAGAAAAACTGAAAGATGAGAGTTTGAAGAAGAAAACTCGCGACTAGGGCGAATCGTATCACGAGTTAATGCGCCTTTCCATCTTTCAACCTACTACTTTACACTATATAGTAAGTTATAGGAGATGAACTGTAGCTAAGCATTGCTCATCTCCAATAACTATAGTATATACTATATAGTATAATTTTAGTAGATAAATTAAATAGACTAAGAATTAACGATAATTCTACTAGAAGTTACTAATAATAAACGAAGAATTCAAGGTTCACTGCAAAAGGAAAATAATAACGAAAATATATGATTGTGAATACTAACTATAAGTCAAAGCAACCAAGATTCAGATTTGAAAACAATTATTACTTGATGACAAAAGGTTCATAACCACTTTTCCTCCACGTGAGTACTACTAGTTTTGAGTATAATTTGTGTGAGCACGTATATATGATGGAATGTCAGAAATAGATGTCTACACATATGAAATTCATTGGATTCATGTAGCATGTGAATAATTCATGAATTGTATGCTTGATTAAATTTATAGATACAATAATTGCATATTTACAAGGAATCTACAGTAATTGCATATATTACAAGACAAGGAACAATTATGAAGGAATAAACTCCACTGACTCCACACCATAATATAGAAAGAAAGATATGGAATACATTGCAAATGATGATATCTTTTCTGTTTTATGCAACTAAGTGGGTCATGTTTGCATCAAATGTTAAAGGGACACATACATCATTCTCAGAGTTCTTGGAATACCCTTTAATGCTTGCAGATAGTTTCCAGGGCATTTCTTCAGACATTGTAGCTGTTAGAAAAGAATATATATGAATACAATTGGTTACAAACTTGAAGAGATCAAACGAATAAGTTACTATAAATCCATGTTTGCATTAGTTTTGCTCCAATAATTATAAGAGGAGAGGAATAGGGCAAGAAATTATGATGAATTCATTTTCTAATTGGTTTGATTTTTTTTTTTGTGGCAAATAGTTTTTTAAAATAGACATTTAGACAACTTGATAGCTCGTAGCATTTAAAAAAAGTAATGGAATTTTGAGAGAATCATAAAATAATATATAAAGAAATACCAAGGTATTATGTTTTGTCCATAAGAAATGACCAGATGATATTCTTATGGTGAATGGCATGAACAAAAGGATATGGAGTTTTTTTTTAGTTATCTACATGACAAACTTACAATAGCCCTCTCAGCAACCAGATAACGAGGTAAGTGCCTTAAAGCCAAATCAATATCACCAGTTTCCTTGTATTGTTCTCGCACAGCCCTTGTCTCAGCACGCTGTTTGAACAAGGTTAAGTTATGGAGGACAATGTTATTCTGATTAATATGAAGATGCATAAATATTATTTTATCCAAGTGGTGATTTGAATAATGTTTCTAAAGGATATCCCCTTCACGTGGATCAAGAATCAAATCCACAGCACTCTTCCACTCTCCTCGAAGTAATGCCGCACCAATGAGATGAGTTGGCACCGAACCACTTCCAAACCGCTGATAATATTAAAAAATAACTTAGAATGTCAATAATATATAGCATTATATGCATCTAATACACAGATAAGATATATGATATAGTTATTACCTGTAAACCATAATAGTTGATGAACCCATTCTTTTCCAAGCCCTCTGCGGCTGCTTTTATGGTATCTACAGAATCTGCAATGACACCCCTGAAATAGCCATACAGATGTAACATGTATTGTCAACATAGCAACAAAGAAATACACAGGACCCGCGTCACAACAACTATTTAGTAAACAGACTACCTTAAAGTAATAGTGAACCGATTTCCTGAGAGTTGACCAAGCATAAGTCCTTCCTTCACATAGCTACATCAAAACCAACTTTAAGGTGTCAGATTGGTTATTGCTTTTGCTTTACCTTAAATGGAGTATAAGAAGAGCATGAAGCACCTACCTAAAATCTCCTACCTTTATACCACATAATTTGTTGTTCAATGCAGCCAGCCTCTTTGGATGCTGCTTGAATATGGTCACCTAACAAGAGAAAACACCTTCCTTCAGAGCACATACTAGATACCACACCATTATAGGAGATTCATCCACCTGCTTCGCTAGTTAGGAAAATACATGACAAAGAATATGTCTTTGACCTATTGAAAGCAAGAAAATATAAAGGAGCAACAACTCCCAAGACAAAGAAAGTTAGGTGAACTTTTCATACACTTTCTTTTGTTTAATTTTCATATTTGCATTTGATACCCACTTAATTGTAGGGAACCAATTGTAAGATTGAACTGCAACAATCACATGAACAGAACAGGCAACGGTTACCACAACTTCTTGACATCAGATCTCACCACTGTTCATTTCTTCAAGCTATTAATCACCCATTGCTGCCAAGTTCCTTAAAGATCTCCGGCAGCAACAAATGGATTTTGTCTTTATTTGTTAATTTAGTTTTCCTGTCATTATTGATGATGATGATCATTATGCTTATTTTATCTCTTTTCTGAACCATCAGAATAAATGCAAGAAAAAAAAATAGTAAATATCGACAAAATACAGAAAAAAACGCGTGTTCTCCTTTTCTCAACCATATTTGTTAATTTAGTTTTCCTGCCATTATTGACGATGATGATCACTATGCTTACTTTATCTCTTTTCTGAACCATCAGAATAAATGCAAGAAAACTAAATTAGTAAATAAAGACAAAATACAGAACAAAAACAAGACCTGCCCTTTCCTGAACCATACAGAACCTAAATAATTTATGTTTATGTCATTATTGATTCTCAATATTATGCTTCTCCCCCTCTCTTTCTTGAACTATCAGAACAAAAGCAAGACCTCTCCTCATTATACAATTTATATTAAGCATACAATTCCATAATAAAGTGTCTGATTTATGTATTTATAAATGTCTGTCGGGGTTTTAAAGGGTTAAAATAAGGATGATCTCATTTTAAAGGATCAACTTGTTTTGCAATTTGCACCATGCATTGTTAGCATGTCCTGATGTAGTAATTTAATTTACAACAGACAGAAGTTAGCAAGAAACCTCCCATTTCAGATTCATGACATAAGCCAAAAGAAGATTTGAAATCCATTACAGCAATAAGATTTCCTCGCCAGCAACACATTAGAACTACACTTTGCTTATGAGGCTACACTCCCCAGGATCCATTTAGAACCTGACTTTTTCATCTCCTCTCTGTTTCCCGTTCTATCTTGGTCATAATGCAAGTTTCTCCCTATCTTAATAATATTTACGATCCTTTAATCCTTAAGTAGAAGAAAACATGGTACTCATGGGATAGGAAAATGGAACTAAGCAGAACTGTAGGAAAACACATAGCAGATGTACTCATTCTTCCTCCCTCTATTTGATGTGTTAGGTGGTAGAGGAATATGATATCTTACTATTCCCACAAGGCCAAAGGAAAAGATCAACCAATTAATGGGCAAGCTTAGCAAGAACTGAATGCACTTACTCAAAGCCCTAAAATATGCTTTATAAGAAGTAAGTTATCTTAAGTAGCAATCAACATAAGTTAACCGTGAATCATGCCACATGACTCTATTGAACTTGGTAATACAAGCATAACATGTCTTCAATACAATATGCAACAAGTAATATCTAGTTGAAAACCTTGTGCATGTATAGCATATACATGAAAAAGCATGCAGAAGGTTATGATAATAAGCCAATAGACTGATTCACAAAATTAAGCAATATGACTCTCCACATTAGGGGTGGAAGTGAACCGAATCATTTTAAACAGTTCGGCTATTTGATCATGTTTGATTCGCTATCTCATTTAACATTAAACGAATAATTTTTAGAATTCGATTCATAAACGAATAGACTTTAACCAAATGTGTATTTGATTTGCTTAATCATTAAATATTCGTTTATATTCTATATTTATTGAATGGTAGATTAGATATTTTCCAAAAAATTTAATTAGTTTAATTTGAGGCATAAGCTTAAATGGAAAAGGCAATTTAGAGGGGAAATTAACAAAAATGATGCTTTGGAGGGCATATTTGCAAATATATACAACTCCTGGGTGAACATGCAAAAATCTCGAAAAGAATAAGAAAGTGAAAAAAGGTGGTAGACCTATGGTTCGAACACATGACCGGCGGTTAAATCCCCTAACCATGTGAGCTACCACATATTCGTGAACATTTAGCGAATATTCCATATATATACGAATTCGAATATGAATATCATTGTGATATCCAACCCGAATCTGAATTCGAATATTGAAAAATTGACCCAATTCGAATTCCAATTCACTGGTGTTCGATCCGATTCGGTTGTTTTCCATCCCTAATCCACATAGAAGAACTAAGCACTTGAGAAATAAAGTTAGGACTTAAGAGGCACAATGAAACAAAATCATACCCTTTGAGTCGTTATAGCACGTTTATCTTTTGTGCCAGCAAATCCAAATGAGCGTTGCTGCCAAGTTTAGTAATCAATAATTAATAGATACATCAATGTTCATCAACTAAAAAATACAGCTACATGCTCTTCAAATGAAGAAACAAATATATGAAAAATATGATCATAAAGTGGTACTTTACCTGAATGCCTAGCATCTTCGCTATAACTGCTAGAGCCTCTTGGGTATCCTTGTTTTCCTTGTAAAGATGAAACCTGAAAAGACGAACGTGAATAATCTCATAAACTGCTGCTGCAAATTTTTATATAGACATTAACAAGAAAGCATGAGTTGCGGCTGGAGCTAGTCATGGAAAAGCATATACAGAATTATAGATAAAATAAAGCCTTCTCAGTTACTCTCAACCTTATCTTATGGTATCACCTAGTAATAAACAAGTTCATAAAATCACTAAATCAGCTGTATCTAATTTCACCTTCCTATAATTCTAGAATCCTTCCGTGCTCAGAAGAATATTCATGCATGACTCCAGAACTGTTTAACCCAAAAGAAGCACTAAACATAAAATTAGAGAATCCTAAAAGGTCATTTTAGTTTCAACAGACCAATAAACTTGGATCTCTACGCCATTCTACACAAACAATAGCAGTCTCTTAGGAAAACCAAAACAATAATCCAATGATAACCACTAACCTCAAAAATTTGCCAAGATGATCAGGCCAATTATCCGACCCTCTACTGTCGAATGGCCTAGCATCACTTGAACTGCCCGAATTTTTCCGTTTCTTCCCTCTTTCACCAGCTCCTGAACTTAACCTCACTCTAACACACTTCAAGCTCCCCTCTAATCCTTCAACTGTGTCAGTCACCAAGAACTTGAAATTCTTCTTGAAGAAGTTGTGCACTTCCTGCAATACTCAAAATACAAATACAATATTAAGTAAAAATCAAATCATACAAAAACACTGAATGCGCATTGGAACACTAACTGTTCGATGTGATTTATCTGAATCCGGTGAAAGAACTATCGGCTCGACGTCATTTTCTTCACCAGGTGTAATCTTATCAAGAAACCCCTTCAGCAGCTCAGAATCCTTCTCACCGCAAAGAGAACGAAATAATTCAATCTCCTTCACGTAACTTTTATCGTCTGCTATCGGTTTCCCTTCTTCCTTGTCTTCAGAACACTGACACTCAACAAAACCCTAATAAATAACTTCATGTCTAAACTTCTACTTACAATGTCGATTAAAAACTCACATCGAGTGCGAGATCGAATGAGGTGAGATGAACGATGTTACCATCGCGATCAACTTCATTAACGATGAAATCGGCGTACCTGTTACAAAAATAGTGGGGGGAAATCAGAAATTGAGGGTTTGAAGTGAGCTAGGGTTTCGAATCGACCTTTGCTTGAGGACGCCGCGCAAGCCGGGGAGGGAGGAGACGTAGCAGGAGATGCCGACGTCGGATTCGTCTAGGGTTTTCGCCATGGCTAGGGTTCGCGAGCTTGAGGAAGGAGAAAACGAGGGTTTTGGAGAGGGGAAGGGTTTTAGGGGAAGGAGAGAGAAAAGGGCGGCCGGGGAGAGAGAGGGGCCGATGAGGGACGTGATGCCTCGCATGTGCTTGCTCCGTTCATTCGCGCGTGAGAAATAAGCGATATTAACTATAATGTGACTAGAGTTTTATAGCACCCGTATGTTGCCAAATCACGGACAGATGGGTCCCCTACAGTGAAATTATTTTGAACGCGTGAGAAGTAAGCGAAGTTAAGTTAGCGCGTGAGAATTAAGCGAAGTTAATTATTTAGAAATGTTAGGGGCACACCAACCATACCCTCCACCACAACTCCTCTCCCTCTATAGTGCATTGGGACCCATATCAAATGTTTGTAAAATGATAGGGACACACCACCAACCACATCCCAAACCATACCCCCTCTCTCATGTGCTACAGTACACAGGGTCCCACATGAGCTTTTAAAATTTTAAAATCTCATGTGGGACTCGGTGTACTTTAGCACATGAGAGAGGGGTGTGGTTTGGGATGTGGTTGGGGGTGTGCCCCTAGTACCACCCTTTTTTTAAAAAATTTGATATGAGGCCCAATGCACTATAGAGGGAGAGGAGGTGTGGTGGAAGATGTGGTTGGGGGTGTGCCCCTATCACCCCTCGCAATTGTATGAGGGTGTATCCCAAGGTGTGGTTAGGAGTGTGCCTGTAGTGCCACTCTATTGTATGCGGATTTTTATAGCACTGGTGTTGGGAGGAGTTATTTTAATGAGGCTTATAAATTATGATGGTCTTCAGTGGCTTTTACTTTTTATAATAAAAATATCATAAATTTTTTTGATAGAATATAACTTAGTTTTTTTAAAGTTGAGGTATACCAGCTTTTTGAAATAATACTTTTAAATTAATTTGGTATTTTACAAAATAGGTAGATAAAAAAAACTTAAAAGCTAATTTGATTAAAAAAAAAATTCCCCAAACACGCCCTCAGGTATTTGCCAAAATCCAAGCCACAGAAGAAGAAAATACAAAGTGCCATACAAAGAGAACAACTAACTGATATAAATATAGTAGTGGAAATATCAATTCTTCTTCTATTTGCTCCTTTCATTAACTTACTAGATAGTTACTACTACTGCCGCTTGTGTGTATATTAAGTTTCTAACCACCACCATGGTTTCTGTAACAAGATATCGATACTTGAATGAAATGCGATACTTAGCAAATAGCATTGGGTAACATCCTGATGATCTGAAGTGAAGCTCCAATACAAGACTATGAGCATCAGAGATGTTGAAATATGTAACAAGATGTTATAGTAGAAGTCTTGTTGATGACATATACTTCTTTGGTTACTTAATTACAAAATACATGCTCAGCTACAGAGTGCTGCCATTTTTCATTTAAGTATACAGGAACCGACATCTATTCGTTAGGATGCAACTGATTTTGGTGGCTTCAGCTATGCAGCTTTCCTTGTAAGTTGATCCTTTGAAGTGCTCTCAAAGATTTTATCGGCATTGCCCACCTCAAAGCCATCTCGTCTATGAAACTCCTCGATCTGCACCAAATAAAAGGGTTCTCAAAAATCAGACCATTCACTTGAATGGAGCAGCAGTAATTTTCCCCCTCATTCCCCTCCTCTACCATTCTAAATGGAACTCCCAAACATAAGTAAACCAAAATTCCCCTTCCCCTTCCCTTCTCTACCCTCCATCCATCCAAACATGCCATTATATAAATGAATATGATCCTATATG